CTAGACCCCTTCTTATCTTGGGTCGTCATCTAGTAAAACCGTTATGTTACACTGTTCTTCTTAGCCTTTGTCCTTGTTTTTTACCTCCTCAATCACCGTCCAAGTGAAATAATGCGCTTTCATTGTCTATTTTATTTTTCTTAGATCAACTGCATTGTTACTTCTACTCCCTTGTTTATGTTCCTGAGGTTTCATCTGCAGGCACATATTCGGACCATTGGAGGAAGGATTGCAGAGACAATTTTGAGTTTGAGATTCTTTATCTTCCAGTATGGCATTGTCTACAAGCTACATGTGAAAGGAGATGATACATCATTGACGGTAACTGTTTATTTTAAATTAATATGGGCCTTTTCTATTTCCTTCAAAATGCATCTAGTTTTCCTATATTTTGGCTTGTATCTGATTCCCACCAAATTTTGCTGCTTCAGTTTACCACTCACCCATTTTACCCTGTATCTGTTTTCTTCCAAAGAGAAAGCCATGCATGAGCTATAGATGAAACTTCTTTATACAGTTGTGTTGATATGTATCTTTTTACAACAGTTTTCTTCTTTCATTATTTTCTTTAAATCTTACTTTATTTGAAAAATGGCTATATGGAGTTTATCTCTTTAATCTTTTAGCATTTGTTAAAAATGTGATTGGGCTGTTTCCTTTTGTCATCCGTTACTCAAACTGTATTCAAGAGTATGTGAAGAGTGGGACTATGTTCACTTACTAGTCTTTTGTGTCATTTATCTTCAAGTCCTGATCCTTTTAGGAATAAAGTGTGTATAAAGCCTTTATTTTTTCTTTTTCTTTTGGTGAATACAAAAGGCCTATATATCATCTGTTATTAAGCGACTGCCTTGGCTGGCATGGTGAAGAAGATAACTGAATATCATATGAACTGACTGTGAAAACTAGCACTTGGAGAGCATCTTTAACTGTTTTGCTTCGTTGTCTATGCAATGTTCAGCAATTTCTGGGCTGTATATAAGCTGATATTTTCCCATCTTCTTATACATGAATTTGTCCTAATATTCGTGTTTTACTGTAGGTGTATGGCATCTCATGGGCTGTGTTGGCAGTGCTTATAGTTCTTTTCAAGGTGAAGAATGACTTGATTTAAAAAATTAATTTAAAAAATTCATATATTTCAGCCAAAATCTTGGGATGCAAGTCCTGTTTGTTTGTAATTAATATTCTTTTGCTTTGGTTTCACAGGTATTCACCTTCAGCCAGAAGATATCTGTTAACTTTCAGCTTCTGTTGCGCTTCATTCAAGGTGTCTCCTTATTGTTGGCGCTTGCTGGTTTAGCAGTTGCAATTAAACTTTCAGATTTGTCAGTTGCAGACGTATTTGCTTCCATTTTAGCTTTTATCCCCACTGGGTGGGGAATTCTTTCTGTAAGTCTCTTCATTTCTAGTTCTCTTTTTTTTCTCTTACTAATCCACTTCTCTTTTCATGTTATTTTCATAACAAATATGCCTTGTGTAATTGGCTACTCTCTCTCGCTCTCTCTCTCTCTCTCTCTCTCTCATCTGAGACCTAATACAAAAGAATATTTGGAACAAGTTGAAATTATGTTTTTCTATTTTGCATAAAATGATTCTTTTGATATAATGTAGCCTGACTGAAATACTTCAGGAACAGATTAATATCCCCGTCCTCCCATTTATACGTTAATCTGTCTGATGAATTCCAGATTGCTATAGCTTGGAAACCCTTGATGAAAAAACTGGGCTTGTGGAAATCCATACGTTCCATTGCCCTTCTATATGATGCTGGTATGGGAATGCTTATATTCATACCCATTGCGTTGTCATCATGGTTCCCATTTGTATCGACTTTCCAAACACGGCTCATGTTCAACACGGCCTTCAGCCGAGGGTTGGAGATCTCTCTTGTCCTTGCTGGAAACAACCCCAATACTGGAGTATAGTGACTCAGTTGTTTGTTCCTTTGTGTATCATTGTAAGTATCCCAATGTTTTCTGGTAAACTGAGGGGGTATCATGTAATTTTTTCAGTTATTTGGTCCAGCTTATCCACTAATCATGTACTTGGAACTTCCATTTTTGAGACAATGTAAATAGTTGTGTAAATCGATGATTGTTTTCTATCCCCATTTGGTTTAGTTGCTTTGTATTCTGAGGAATGTATACGCATTGTTTGTGGCTTCAAGGACTTAGTGGTCATACCTGAGGACATCCGAATTAAATACTAAAAGGTCCATGCCTTTATGAACTTTATGATTCCTACTCGTAAAAATTATTTTCTGATCTTGATCGGTTCACCTTCGGATACTTTAGCATAATGATATCAACTTGAAACTTATCCATTGCATCAAGAAAGATTATAGATAGATATTGACTGATTGTTTGCTAATGTCTTTCTACAAGTAATTTTAACTCGAAATGGGCATCAATGTTTATCTTTGACCATCTTACATGCGGGCCGTGTGCTTCTAAACATGGCTGCACTGATGTTCGGGTGTCCAAGGTTGTGCCGCATGGTTAAACGACCATGATGACCGTGAGGTTATGGCACACAAGGGCAGTCATGGGGTATGACTGAAGTTTATTAGTTGAGAAGGAAATTAAAATAAGGGCATTAATGATCAGAATCTTTCAATTTCAAGGATTATATAGCAATTTGTTTATCCACATTTTTGTTTCAAATTTAATAGCAGCAACAACCTATATATAACTGACGAGCTATCTAGTGTCTCAATGGTAAGGGTTCGAAACCTGTTGAAAACACTTTGTGGTCTTGAGCAAGCCGAACTCCGAGTTGGGATTAATCTCACTCGTCGAGTGTAGGGATACATCGTGGTATTTACCAAAAATAAAGTAATTTTTTTAATTTTTTGTTATAAAAATAATCTGTGCACTTGTCTTACAATAAGGATATCCTTAACATAATAAAAGAAATAATAATCTTCTACGTCCTAGGTGTTGCCGTTCCTTCACCTGGCTGACAACTTGACAAGGACCAATAGCAATTTTCCTTAATGTGTCGTGACCCAAAAGTTGATGTTGTTAACCGTTTCCTTAAAGAAGATGTTGATGGCGTAAGGGAACGAGTTAGGAGAGATCAAAGGCACACATGGAGAAACATGAGTGGTTCTTAAAGCTTTGGGATAAAAAAGAAGGTAGACATCACAAGGATTCAACCGAAGCCACGCATGGCAAAATATTCGTCCAAAAAAGATGCTGGCTGATTATGTACACATGCAAAGCCCTTTCAATCCAAGTTACACACCTCATAGCCAAGCCAACGAAAGATTGAGATATCTTCTTTGCAACCATGAAGCACATAGCTACTAGGCTATGACGGACCTAGGGTTTGGTGTGGACTCTGTACACAAATACTCTTACCACTAAGGCTAGCTATAGACCTGTCAACCTGGAGACTGCGTACCACTAAACTAAATAAGAATTTATCCACGAGAAGATGCTTAATGACTCGCTTTGTAACTAACAGTAAACAAAATATTAAGTTAAAAAAATTGCCGAGGAACTCATGGGCCGATTCCTGGCCCAAAAGTAGGTCTATGAACAATACATTGGTAGGATTTTTGTTGTTGTTGTCAAACAACAATACATTAGGTTGATCCAACCCATCCTTCATTCTTTTTTACGCTTACTTTTAAGGTTAATCACATGTTTGGTTTTCTTGGTCTTTATACTAGCGATCTGAAAATCACGTTTAATTTCGTTTACAATGTATTCCATCAGATGGATGTTCAATTAGGTGTTGCATAAAATCTAAATTTAGTAATGAAAACCCTATTTTCATGCTTCAGAAAGTCACTTGAAAGTTCAAACTCACCAAACATATCACAATATAAAACTACGTCACAAGAGATTCCAGTCAATATAAGAATTAACAAAACTTATGGCGTTAGTTGAAAGAAGAAATTGCAGTCAATAAATGGTTGTTTGGCAATGACTCCCACACCAAGCTCCAAACTTTTTAAAGTTTTAGTTTGGTTTTCAAATAAGAAGTCGTCAAATTCGCAAAATTTCAAATATAAACTCTAAAAAAGCTTTGAACTCCAATTAGTTAGTTGACAAAATTGACTGAACATCATAAAAAGTTACTCATTCTTTATAGTTTTTAGACTATCGCTTGTATTCAAAAAAGAGTTACCCCTTCTCTTATTGTTTTTTACTTTGATAAACGAATAAATGAAAGACAATAAAAATGTATATATAAAAAAAAGTGTAAATAGATATTTAAAAACTGACATCCTAAAAATATCGATGTTTTATTTTTTATTTTTATCAGAATTGAAATTTTTTCTTGACAACCTGTCCAAATCAAATGAGCAATCATAATATCATATGCAATTGAATTTTTCTATATTTGGTCTTGTATTGTGTACTAAATTACGATATTATTTATTTTTTTATTTTTTTGTCTAAATTGTTATGCTTACAGAAATTAAAGAAGAAAAAGAAAAGAAGTGCAATTTCCCTCTTGTCCTACTCTTACGCCTGCCAGGTCTCCAGGTAACGCACGGCCGACACGTAATAATAGATCTCGGCCGTCCATTTCTAAAGTTCTAATCGGACTGTCCACAGCACGCAATCTCCCCCTATAAAAATAACCCATGCGGTCCGCTAGCCCTCCCTAAACCGCTTTGATTCCATCGAGCTCTTTCGATTTTCTAGAGAAACAACAGAAATCATTAACAAGAAAAGAAAATCAAAACCCTCTCTTTTCTGTTTTTGGTTCGGAATTTTAACTTTAAAAGGAAAAAGCATTTCTCGGAGAGAGTCTTAAGATCGAGACCTTGAATTGAAGATTAAAAGGATTTCTAGGGTTTCGATCTCGAAATTTTGGGTTTCTTATCGGCGATTTTGATCGGAATCTAATCGGAAAGGGACGAAATTTTTTTTTTTTTTTTTTTTTTTTTTTTTTTTTTGGTGGTTTAGGTTCGAGAGAAAGAGTTTTTTTGTTTAGGTGGGTTTTTGGGTTTGGTTTCATTTTTCGTTGTTGGGGGAAACATGAACGATCAGTCGCAGCTGATGAATCAAGCGCCGATGATGAGTCTGAGCCAAGCTCAAGTCATGAGCCAGCCGATGCCACAGATGATGAGCCAGCCGCCTCAGATGATGTCACAGTCATCTCAAGCCATGGCGGCTCAGCAGCAGCAAATGATGATGAAGAGTCAGTCTCAGCCGTTGATGTTGAACCGAAACTACAAGGCTTGGCCTCAGCCTCAGCCTCAGCCTCAGCTACAGTTCGCGGCCCAAAAGCCTCCGTCGAATCTGGGACGCAACAATTGGAAAGGCAAGAAGGGCACCGACAAAAGGAAAGACCAGAGAAGAATGGACAAGAATCCGAATGTCCCCAATTTGCCACCGAGTGGTCAGACCAGTAGCGGAGGAGGCCCGGGAGGGTACATACCCCCAACGCTTCATGAGTTACAGTCGCAGAATCGAATGAAAGCCCGGAAATTTTATCCCAAAAAGAAGTTTAACAATAGGTTTGCCCCTTACGCCCCAAGGAACACGACGTCCTTCATTATCAGAGCGAAGAAGTCCGGTGGCATAGCCTCGCTGGTTTCGCCTTGCCCGGTGACACCTGCTGTTCTTCCCACGCCCATTTTCTCGCCGTCGAGGGAGGTCTTGGGGGATATGGCGAAGGAGGAGTGGGGTGTTGATGGGTATGGGTCAATGAAAGGGTTGATTAGGCTGCGGTCGCCTGGAAATGATGATGACGAGGAAGAGGGTGGTGGTGGGTCAAGTGAGAGTGACGTGGAGGAGCATGTGGAGGTGGAGAGGAGGTTGGACCATGATTTGAGTCGGTTTGAGATGATATACCCGAACTACAGTGGGGTTGAGTATAACAACGTTTTGGAGAATAGAGTGGATGATCAGGATACCCATATAGCTCAATTGGAGGAAGAGAATCTGACATTGAAGGAGAGGCTTTTCTTGATGGAGAGGGAGTTGGGGGACTTGAGGAGGAGGATGCAGTTTCTTGAGAGGAGGCACCATGTAATGGAGGTCAATGAGGAGGTGGTAGAAAATGGATCTGAGAATGATAGTGATGGAGGGTCAGATGTTCCCCATATGGGTATGGAGGGTGAAAGCAATGCTGAGGTGGTAGAGTATATGTCCAGAGATGGAGGAAGTAGAAATGTTGGTGCCTTGGCTGAGAATGAACGTGTTAGGGACGTTGATGTAAGTATGGAAGACTATGTCCGCATTGAAATGATTTTAAAGGACAATGAAGTCAAAGATGAAACATCAAATGAGGTTGTAGGTGACGAACAGAAAGAGGAAGTTAAGAATGAGCTTATACCGGAAGAGGTATTTGGAAATAAAAATGAGGTTAATGATAAGGTGAGTAATGAAGTTGGGACCAAGAATGAGAATGAGTTAATGCAGGGTCAGGTGAATGCGAAGAAGGATGAGGAAATGGGAATTGCATGCCCAGAGAAGAGCATTGGCGACGGTGACTAATCTGTCCCCGCGTTAATGTAAGTTGCTTCTTCAAATAGATAAACATTCCGCATTTCGTCGGGGATTGTTAAACTTCTGGATATATGCATCTATGTAGATTCGCCTTATATTTCATTTTTTCCTTGTTTTACGTTTTTTTTTGGGTGGAAAGAGAGGATGAAGATGCTCTCAGTTTTCTGCCCCTCTATGACCTAATAATATCAGTAGGGACTAGGTTGTAGGTTTTGTTTCCTTGGGTTGGGGTGTTAGACTTAGTTGTAAGGTTCATTCTGTTAAAGGATACATCTGTGTGGCACCATGTACTTACTCTAAAGTTTGAAAAGGACCTGTGCATTTGATAGTGTAATCTAATGCCTATTATGTATCCAATTTTCATTTTCATAATGTCATGCAAACCTTCTTTAATGAATTTCCTTGTAATTTCATGAAATATCTGTTACTTTAGTGTTAAACTGAGTCATAGCCGCCTTTTCTTCTGTTGGATTAAATTGATGTACTTGAATGTGTCAATTGTCGTGTAGTTGGAGAGTTTTAATTTTGTATTAGCAATTCTTTGGTATGTAAAGAAGACTTTTCTCTCTTCAACCTATAAGTATGACTGGTCATTATTGTAAATGTAAACATCCAACTATACTTTGTATACTATCTGCGATATTGTGATTGAAGTCGGGTCTGTCTCATAATTGATTATAGATTGTATATTGGAGAACAAGTTTTCGGTGGAAACTTAGATATTGTATCTTTTTATGGAAGTGGCTTACACTCCTTGCTTCAATCTTCTGTGTCGCCTGTGAGGGTGATTCCAAATGCGCAGTTTGAGAGCTCCAGCATCTTTAAAGACGGTTGTTGTGCACTTTTCCTTTTCTAAAGGGGGTGCATTAGTGCCTATTGAATTCAAAAGTTGGAGAAGCATTGATGCTGAAAAGGGCCAATACGTCTAAGTGGGAGTCTACCGCAGCAAAGACTTGATTGTTAGTTGATGTTGCTCCTTCATCAATGTTTTTTTCCGGTGGGTGCATTACTACGAACTCAACCTTGAGGTAAGGAAAATGCTACCTACTCAGTGAGGTTCCCCACTCAATATTTCTTGGACAGACTGCTCAGATTCTTTTTGCGTCTCGTATGTAAATAACCACTCTACTTAAATTTTCCAAGCGTCCTTACTCAGGATGTTTCTAACTTCTAAGGTATGAAAGTTGGCTTCTCCAAGCAAAGCTTTTCCTCACTGAGCTTATGAAATTATGAAAATTTTTCACTGATTTTACTTAAGGGCCAAACTTCTGGTTGAGATTCATCTGGCTAACTGATGGTATTGCTAACATTTCATGACACCTCATGTAGATGGCAAATGCTTGACTACTTCACTGTTCTTTGTATGCCAGAAACTCTTCTTTCTCCAGCAAACTTTTAATCTGACATTATCAATGGCCTTTATTTTTTGTACTGTGTAGACGTTGGTTGTTTTTTCTTTTCTCCATGCAATGAGTTCATTGAAGCTAATAACTTCATTGTGTAAACTTTGCGGATGTCATTTGTTCTGAGTGTGTTTTAGTCTCTGGTTGATCTTCATGGAGGTTGAATGTTTTTGTTGATCCTATGTAGGACACCTTGGGGAAGCTGCTGAAGGCTTGTGTGATGGATGTTCTGTTCTTTGCTCGTTGCGTGATTGTGGGAATAGCTTTACCCAATGTGCTTGCTTTTGTTTCCCCGGTAATATGAGCACTGCTGCATGTTTCCCTTTCTCACATTTGCTTGAAACTATGGTGGGGAAAAAGTGCAGAGCTCATATGGACTGCAGACAAGTGCTTTTTATGCTTTGCATCCATACATCAAAGCTGCTTTTGGCAAAGCCAAAGATTCCTTTTAGCTAAGATACTACTTGGTTTGGCTAAAAATTCCTTGCAGTGGATCTTCTCAGCATCGGTCACTCAATTACTTGGTGGTTATCTTTTTATAGTTCATTTTCCTCATTCCAATAATTTTCCAGGTTAATAACGTACAGTTTTAATGTAATTGTACAGTTTTTTCCTTCACCAATACAAAAACTAAATTGTTTCAATTCAACCAAATTTCACCTTATGTTCCCAAATTCCTAGGGATGGTCATAGTTGGGATCCCGAGCCCCTGCAAATAGAATGCTTTTGAAAAAACTGAACGACTTTGTGCTAAAGAGGAACAATATTCAGCTTGGTACTGATGTTGAAATTTTGAAACGAACAGTATGGATTAGAAATCCAAATATCCATATAATTTTTAATCCGAAAAATACCATTTCTTTGATGACGAACTGCAGTATGGAAAAAACTTATCAGTATTTTGGTCACCTAATTTAAGCCAATTAGCCCTTGCACGTTGAGCCCAGTAAAGTTACTCTCGATGTAACAAATTAAGATAAGCCTTATGCAAATCCTGCCCAAAAAGAGTTCCTGCACTTGAGCAATTTGTTTATACAAAGAGGAAACTTCCTGGAATAAATGGGGCCGTTTAGAGTGCCATTGTTCAAGCAAGAAACGTAAGTCTCCACAGTCAGCCACAATATTATTCATAGGGGGAAGCTCCCTGAACGTGTTTCCATGCTTTTTTTTTTATAAACTATATCTGGGAATTCTGGATTGGAAAGCCATTGCCTTTGGAAACTAAAAATTCAGTTAGATCAAAAAACATGTGAATTGGAATGAAAGATAATTGGACTATGATCGGATCCTCCTATAGGCAACACATCTAAAAAACAATGAGGATAACATTGTAAAAACGAATTTCGTGCAAAAAGCTCGATCCAATTTTTCCGAGATTTAAGATTGAGCCTGTTGTTTATTACTCCAGGTAAAAGCAGCATTACCTTTAGAAGCAATTTCAATGAGACTAAATTGATTATCAAAATTTTGAAAATCAAGCATGTACTTGGAAAGTTTACTAGAGCCTCCAAGTTTCTCATGTAAAAGAAAGAATGCAGTTAAAGCCTGCAAGTATCAAGACTGGTTCATGCCAAGGAACTTTATCCAAAAGGGGATCCCAAATAATTTTTTGTTCATCTTTCGGAGCCAGCAAACAAAATAAGTAGAACCAACATGAGCATCAAACACACAAGTTAAAATAAACCTTTCATGCATATATTATTTTACATCCAGATGAATACATTCCTCATTCCAAGCCAATATAATCCCTCCAGCTAAACCAGAAAATTCAACCATTCTATTAAAACTAACATTGGAAATTTCTTTTCAAAAAGATGAGAAATTACCAACAGCAGCATTTTTTTGTTGTTGTTGTTGTTTTTATTGGCTTTTTGAAGGTGAAGCTACAACACCTACGATATAAAATGTGAAAAAGGGATATGAGCTGGCAAGTACAAATATGTCTGTATGCTCAGATTCGTAACCTTTGAGTTAGAAGACAGTTAAATAAAAGGTTGATTCTCTGAACAAATCAAAGCTCCTCATAAAAAGATGTCCGTTTTCGCCGGCATCCTTCTGAAGAAGTTGTAGTGATATGGAGGGAGTTGGTCACGTAACCATGGGTGCCTTAGCACATACATGCCTGCTAAAAGAGGTATACATTGGAAAGGAACGTACCAAAATATTATCCCAGCAATTATACACAAGGATGTAAATATAGCTGTAGCTCTTGGATCCCTCCAACTCAAAATAGATTGCACCCTCTCCCCTTGAGCTGCTATGTCCCCAAGAAGTGTCTGGATACTCCCTGCCATGCTTCGAAGCCGATCATATCTTCTTCTCAGAACTTCCTCGGTCCTTCTCGTTGGAAATGGATCAAACTCTTCATCCAAAACATCCGGAAGCGCAGTGTAGGCATGAGACAAGTCGGCATCTATGTGAAGAATTTTTTTAGGCCTCTTCCAAAAGTTCCAAATCCCTTCCTTGGAAAAGTAGAAAAACAATGCGGGTAGTATGAGACCAGGGTAAATAACCACAACACAGAAGATGATCAAAACCAGAACAGTAGAGAAGGGGTTAGTCCATTTGCATATCCCATCAAACCATTTGACGACACCAAAGACACCATCCATAACTTTGACGATCCTGTCAAAATTCACTTTGGCTTTTCGGAGGCTCCACAAATGTGTTTTCACATCCAACACATAATCCACAACCTCTTTCCTCAAAGGTGGCTCAGCCCGGCTCAACCTCAGTGCGAGAGTATACGCAGCTTGTTCTGATAACATAGAGATTTGATCTTTAGATAGTGGCACAAGGTAATGCATTTTGGGAAGCAGAGGCCGTCCATAAGTAAGTAGCATGTTCATCTTATTTGTACAGGAAAATCTCACTGCCAATTGGATTTCGCCCATCTTCTTCACCCCAGAAGGTTGCATAACCACAAGTGGATGAGAGTTTGTGTAAATTTTATCGATGACAAGCGTGGACAAGCGAATCTTTACCTTGCCAATAGGCAAATCCATAGGCCCTCCAGGCTTATCCCAACTGTGCAAATAGCCATTTTGAAAAACTGCAATGGTAATGACTGTACAAGGATCATAGACATCCCAAGTGTATTGTTCATTCCACTTGGGGTCACAGCTATCGACGATCGTCCTTGTTCTCACCCACTTTGGCCCATATTTAGCCACACAATAGGCGTTAACACGATTTTCGGGCTTCATTGGTGGCAGTCCAGAAGCACTCAAGATCCCCAGTTCCAGATTCCCGATTGTAGGTTTCCACAATATCTTTGCTGTTGGCCTAAGATCACTAAGAGAGTGAGCAGGCTCGTCAAGAACATGGTATCCACCATCCAAAGAGATCCTCATCTGAATCTTACTAGCAAATCTCACCTCCTTATTCTCAACTACTTCAGTCCTCCAAAGATCATGCCACTTCGCAGCAGCCGCTGAACCAGTATTCCTCTTCTCCACATTCTTTAGAGGAATCTCACACCTCCCTAAGGTGAAACTTCCTTCCTTATTGATCAAATTCTCCTCCACAGTCACAACCAAATCCTCCTCAAATGGTTCTGCTACAACGAACATTATATCCTGGTTCCATGCGACATTTGTAGTCTTCGTTTGAGAAACTTTACTTCTCAAAACCAACCTCCCAAGAGTAGCTTTCACAAAAATCTCTACTGGCTGTCCTCTGTTGTTCTTGTCTCTAAGCTGCAGATCCTGAGCTTCAATCGCATTAACCCTAAGGTACCAAATCCTAGGTGAAATGTACACTTTCGAACGAGTATCTGAAACACCATAACCACTTATAACTGAGGCTGTATCAGCATGCCAAGCATCAGGAAAAACCTCATCCGCCTGTGTCCCAATCCAAAAGGCCAACATCAACTCTCCTTTGATCTTGTTTTGATCCATCAGCCTATACCATTGGGGCGCCAAAGGACTATCCGGAGGAACTCTGGTTGGAGCATCAGAAACATTGAAAGCAAATCGGCCAATGACTTCATGACCATCTTCAACTGCAAGAGCCTTATCCTTCACCAAAATCTCCACACTGGTGTTCTGAATTCTCTCTCTGTTGAAAGAAAAAACTAGGTTCCATTCGGAGTATGGATTCTTCTCCAAGTGTTTTGTGGATCCCTTGTAGTTCCCAATCTTCAGCTCAACATAAGGATCGCAGGGTTGTGGCAGCCCTCTAGCTTTCACAACCCGTACATACAGATACTGCATTTGCTCCACCAGGTTAAAGGCGGTCATAGGGCCTGTGGTGGAGGCCGCCCTGCCAGTGATTTTCGGCGATGTCTCCTTGAGGGACAAATCTTCCCGTGGCGTCTGAGTGTTTGTGGTCTTGTAATGAGCCATCATTGTTCACACTTCACAATGCCAGAATTATAAAGAGTTTAGATATATATATATATAGTGCGCAACCAAAATAAAGTTTGTGCAATCAAAAATGCGTAAGAAACATATAGAACTTGCACATAAATTGGCGTAATGGGGAGAAACAAAAAGCCTAAATAAGGATTCTGTGAAATCACTACCTGCACAACTCTTCTTCGTCCACTGGGATTAAAATATAGGCTCTTCTACTTCGTTTGTATCTTTCCTTCTCTTTGTTAGATTCTTGCTCTGTTTGGATATTGGGAATCCCTAAAGATAAAGGCAGGCATGAAGTAATAGAATATTCAACCCAAGAACTAAGGCAAAGCTAAAAGAGAAAATTAAGAACCATAACCAGGAATACCATACCTGTTTATCATAGAAATCTAGATGTGATGGCAGGTCTTCCCCTTCACGTTTGATGGTTTGGTCTCTTGCTGAGTTTGATGGTTTGATGTCTGTGGTTTTAAAGAAAAACAGAGCAAAGGAAGGGTAAGGGATAAAAAAAATCGAAATCTTATCGTAAAAGGTGAGGAGGATTATGCAATTCAATGCATGCTTAGACGTTGGCTAGCAGCATATATAGGAAAGTTGATCGAGCAAGGAACTCGTAATGGTAAGGGCCAAATACAAGACCAAATTGATTTGGAGTGAGGTATAAGTAACCGGGGCATCAAACGTCAAAAGAGGGCTGAAAAAAAGAGAGAGAAAAACCAGACAAAGATTTCTTATCCTATGGGGAAGGTTTTGGAAAGAGAATGAATCAGTTTTGGGAAGTTTTTTCCTTGGTTACTTGTTAGGCAAGTAATAAAAGTTTATCTGGCATGTTAGTCGTTAATTAATTACTTCTAAGGAACTTTACTTATTTGTTTGAGATCTTGATGAGATTTACTTTTTTCTTTTGCGGAATTGTTAACTATAAACAAAACACAGTGTAGTTAGTTTAGGCAAGTTGACCCGGAAGTGTGCCCGCCTCTTGTACCCTAGTTTGAATTACCCTTTTCGTAGATTAGAGTATTTTAGGATATTGCCTTGTCATTGAAAAAACAAAACACAATCATTATTCTTGAATGGGAATAACATGTATTTAACAAAAAACAAAAACATGTTATAGTCGTGTGCAAAATCTCTAATAGATTTCTTCTATTGGTTGATGCATACAGCAGATGTAGATGAAGAGTGCTATTTAATTTGCTTTATTTTTGTGCCTGACAGTTAATGTTCATTAGGTTTTACGATAAGTAATCCAAATCCCAGCACAGAAATACTCAATACCAAAGCCAGCGACTAAAGAAAGATACAATTGAGCCAATGACAATTAGCAGAAAGTATCTGGGATACAATTAATTGTGATTACGTTTGATGTTAAACGGGTAAAAAAAAAAAAAAAAAAAAAAAAAAAATAAAGCCAAAAAGTCAAAACAATTTTAAATATTTTTAATATTTGTTTCTGAGTTAATAGGCCAATCTCATGGCATGATTTACAATAGGCCAGTTCTGTAGTGGAGGGAGGGAAATTATCTCCACTTTCTCCTGCTAGATGAAGCTGACTTTTGAGAAAATTCTGGCAATCCCTACTTCAAGGCTCCAAGGCTCACCCCATTCCCAACGAAAATGCTTGTTTCACCCTTTCTGATAGCTTTGCTTATCACCTGACATGTCCCAAACAAAATCTATGAAACTGGGTACGTTTGTTCATTTGTTCTTGTTTCAGGCATAGACATGTGAATATGAGATATTCTATTTCATTTTTAGTATGTACGACATGAATTTTTCAGAATGATGGTGATGAAATTCTGCCTTTTTCTGGTTCCCACTGGGTTACCTTATCAATTGGTCAAAAGATGAAAAACAATCAAAATAACATGTGACTATGCTTTCATTTATACCAACAAAACCAGAAGCAAATTTGTATCACCTGAAATTTAGATCTTCTATCTGTTTGGTTAGCCCATCTTACTTCTGTCCTGTACCATCTGTTCGCAGATGCACAAAAACAATTTTATTATATCCCCGCGTAATTCTGATCTTGTCATCGCTATACCTGCATCATACAGTATTAATAAATATGTGAATGAAAGGTACTTTCAGCTAATCAAAGTGTTGTAACTAGCTAAATGAATACCGGACGAGATACTTACAGCGGTTCTAGTTTGAACTTGCTTTCTAGCTCTACGGGATATCCAAATTGGCCGCCGATGATGGCTGCATCGTCCATTGTAATATCATATGTTGTGGTGCCAGATTTCCTGCCGATGTGTGAGACTTTGAAAATCAGGCTTTCCCTATCTCTTTTAAATTCCAGCTAAATTTATTCAAATGAGAAACTTACACAAATGTGCCAGTTATGGAAAATTTGAGTCCAAGCAAGATGTCAACCACAAACTTTATTTGTCCATTTTCCTTGACAATCTATAATCATAGCATTTTAAAAAAATGGAGAGTAAACTAGTCAACCAAGGAAACTCCATAAGGAATAACGAGCACTAAGACAAAGCAAGTTGAACCATCAAAATTTGTTGAACGCAATAGCAGCTATGATTCTTCGCTTACTTGCTTGCCCATAAGACCATTGGCAGCATTCTCTAACCAACTATCCGTCTCTTCCTGCCATATATAAGGACACATGAAAATTCTTTTATGTGTTCATCTTACAAAATGCATAATTGGATTTCAGTGATCTGGAGCAGTATTAGCAGATTTTTATCTATTTGATGTCTTCTACATGAATATAGATCTTGCTCTGTAATTAGCTCTATCCTGTAGTAGTTCAGGTTAGCTTTATTTTGTTCTTTATAGCCTTTAAATTCAGCAAGCTTCTCATTTACTAGGATGAACCCTATTTTTTCAATTAACAAAATAACTTAGCTGATTTTGTTCTCTTATGCGCCTATTTGTGAAACATTTTTGAAAATGCATATGTATATAACAGTTGCATTCTTTCTTATATAAGCTAATGCTCTTGGTTGAACAAAGTGCAATGCACGTTTGATTTCACAACCATGGAGAGATGATTGCCACATTGGCTCATGCGATTAGACCCAATAAGTCTCAGACTCTTGATCTGTCCAAACTTAAGTTTCTCAGTGCCTTTTCCGCATTACCAAGCCAATAGGATGTTGGTAAAGGACAATAAAACAACTCCTAGTATCAGTTTATCATCATGAGATTACCTGTGAACTCCATAGCATTTCCCACTCTCCCTCTTGGAGTTCTGGTTCACCTATGCCTTTATTCTGGTTGAAGGAGATAAACTCATCGATTGCCTGCAATAGAAAAACGGTTGCAGGAAACCATATCAGCAAGGAAAAGTTTCTTCAGCATGCAACTTGAGAAACTTGAATTGGCAACGTCACCTCTTTGACTCCTGTACCCGTGGAGATGGTTGATAGCAATCTTTGCCTAGGCTCAGTTTTCTTTTGCAGCACAAATGTGGTTCCCTGCACTACAAAGGTATTATGGATATCCTTAGCTACGATCAACTCGTTTTAAGGTTCAAGCAATTAATTCGGTAATATTACTGATGTGAAATGCAGCACAGAATGTGTTAAAAATCTGTTTACTGCTAAGCAATGAATGCATGTCCTATTACCTTATTTCCTCTTGATATTCGGAGGTTTCCAGATTGGGACAAGTATGTGGTATCCAACCAACCCTTTGCCTCATCTCCAAGAAGTCTGAATGGAACTGGATATGGAACCTTGAATGGTAAAAATTTGAAAGAAAAGGCTGCTCTGTCAAACCGGAAAAGGATTCGTTTCCTATCTTTGATTGACGCCGCCGCCTTTGTGGGAACAAAAGAGACAAAACTTAAGTCACAAGAAAATACTTAAATGATCTATATGGCATCATTCATGACTTGACAAGAATCAAAGGGGGGGCAAAAGAAAAGAACTGAATGATAGTAACCGTTTAGTGCTGCAGAAAGAGACATATGTAGAGATATTTAGCAGTTGGAGAGAGCAAAGGCATACCTCTACTTTCAGCTCACCTATTGCATCAGAGAATTTTACGATATTGGATACGCGTGGGTCATTTGTCCGAAGAAATACCTCTTGAAACACGCTAAAGAAGTCGACCCCAACAAATGTCCTCTGAAAGATATTAAAAGCAGGATTCAATTGCCACTTTCAAATTGTTTATAGGGCCAACTGAACTTGTTTTGTTTTGCAAATCAATTTTCTTTCCATGAAATTTGGAGTCCCTAGAAGATCCATATCTTTACATTTGCAACACTCTACATGTGCATCATATAGCTAGGGTGATGCTTTCAAGATCTCAAGGAAAACCAATATATATTGCAAAAGAAACCAAGTTTTTGCAATATTCAAAAAGAAAAAAAGAAATTCATACAAGGAGGGGAAAAAAAACATTAGTTGAACAGATCATACTTGAATGGGAGAGGCAGTTCCAGGTCTTGTAGTAAACATCAATTGCCAGCGTCCCTCAATCAAACTAGAGCTGGTCTGCATATTAAACATACATTTTTAAGATATAAACAAATACAAAGAGACCAAAAACAACAATCAAAGCAGAAGGTTGTATTTCAATGATATCGAACCGGGTCCGGAATGCCTTGTAAACTTTCAAGAGCTTGCACAGCACGCTCAACATCCTGCAAAATCATTAATTCTCATTCAATAATTTTTTATTAATCACATAATTTAAGAAGAGAAAAGAGAGAAAAGCGTTACAGTGAGTTGCTGAGGAGAAGCAGAGCGGCCTCGGCCTTGAATTCCAATGAGGGCTTCAACGAGAGAGTTCTCTTCCTCTGTAAACGAGACTTGTTGCTGTTGTTGTTCATCTACGAGAGCCAAAACTTGAGTGAGATGCTTTGTACGGCTTGGGTTCCTGAAGAAGCGAAGAGTTGTTGGTGAGAGTGAGAATGTGGGTTTTTCGCGCCAACCATGGAATCTCGGGCTTGTTAGATTTGGTGGTGCTGCTGCTGTCACTGCTGCCGCCATTGATGATCAAGAAGAAGCAGAGAGGCTGAGAAAGGCAGAGTGGTGCCAGAGCAACTGCCAACAGTGTAAGAGAGATTGAAGCTATTTGATTAATATCTCCTTCCTTTTGCCACGTGGGCTGTTCTCCATCAGACACGTCCAAACTGATATGTTGTGATTTATCTCTATATGTTTGCTGTTTACTTTTGTTTGACGAATTGGCGCCATATATTACATTCATGTTCTTTTCTAATATATTTTTTTAATTTCTTTTTTGTTCCAATTGTTGTTTTGTTTTAGTTCTTACAAAATTGTAGTTTATAATTTACATTTAACCTAGAAACCATTTTTGAATTACGTTAGGTTAGGTAGTTTAATTGTATCAAATAAATTTATATGACATGTTAAGTTCAACGCGAGATGTATTATATATGTGAGAGAGTGTATTGAAAATATGAAGTCAAGTCATCCCATGATTTGCATTCTTAGTATGTAAAGTCATGAGTGTTTCACCCATTGTTATTGCATGCGCAACTTAATGATTAATATCACAGAATTTTGGGAAAAATTGTCTGAATAAGCTTTCCATCTGTTTTACTTTGATTCCTTGCCTTATATATTTGATGGTGCAAGGTTATTATGATTGCAATCCAATAATTAGGAAATCTTACCATTCTGTCAATTTCTGATTGGCATATATCAATTTGGTGCACTCACTAATCTATCAGGTTTATGCAATTTAATTGTAGCTCTGTTGACCAAATGAATATACTGGGGGAAGTCTAAAGCCTAGCAGTTTCCAGATATCATAGTCCACAGCACTAAAGCTATGGAAAATTGATTGAGGCATTGCATAATTAATATAAATGAATATGACAATGCCCCTCAACTTTGGTTATTAATTTGTACAAGCTTTGCCTCTGATATAAGTTATAACCATGACCAGATTTAATGAATATAACAGTTTATTTTTTGTCATAAATCTGTTCATGTTGTGTTCAGCTGTGAGGTCTGATCTTAATGCAGATTTCTATAAGCAGACATGTCCAGATCTTCTCAAAATCGTCAGGAAAGAAGTGAAAGATGCTCTAAAGATTGAAATGCGAATGGCGGCTTCCTTGCTTCGGCTTCACTTTGTCGATTGCTTTGTGAATGTGAGTTGAAAACATTACTAAAAATAATTAATTAGCAATATTTTGGTACCTTGATTTAGGCTTATGTTTAGGCTAACTTCTTTTACATGCCTTTTTATGCTTTCCAACAATCCCAATCATTTTTCTTAGGGCTGTGATGCATCAATTCTGTTGGATGGAAGCAACAGTGAGAAATTTGCTACTCTCAATTTGAACTCTGTTAGAGGATTTGAAGTGGTGGATGCAGTCAAAAGTGCTGTGGAGAGTGCATGCAGTGGAGTTGTATCCTGTGCTGATATATTAGCCCTAATTGCCCGGGATTCTGTTCTCTTGGTAAGTGTTCATCTTTGGTTTCTCTTGTTTACAAAAATATGATCATCATTTGCAAGAGGCTTGTAGCTCAAGTGCTATTAACTCTACGGTCGAGATCTTGTGTGTTGAATCTCTTTGTAAGTTTTCATCTTCGGTATCTCTTGTGTACAAAAATGATGTGATCATCGTTTGTAAGGCTTATAGCTCAAGTGCTCTTAAACCTTGCACCCACCCGAAGTCTTATATCTCTTGTTTTTAAAAGGAAATATTGTATCACATTTGAATGTAACAAAGGCCATTGAAATCATTTGAGTCATTTCAGCAACATCAAAAAGTCATCTTAATTATCCAGATCTAAGTAGAAGTTGATGACGATGAAACTAAGAGCTCAAAATGTGCAGAGTGGAGGACCAACATGGAAGGTTTTATTGGGAAGAAGGGATGGACTGGTGCCAAACCAGAGAGGAGCAAATCTTGCTATTCCTTCTCAATATGACACACTGGACACAATAATTTCAAAATTTGCCAATGTAGGTCTCAATGTCACAGATGTGGTCTCCTTGTCAGGTACATAACCTAAAAATCTATATAATTATTGTTAATGTCACAGATTTGGCCATATATATATATTTAATTTAGACTTAGCATGGTAGTAAATTAAATCAATGAATAATGGTAATGGGGGGGTCATTTGGCATGTGTAGGTGCTCATACAATTGGACAAGCAAGGTGTGCCACTTTCAGCAAGAGACTCTGGAACTTCTTCAACACAGGAGGTCCAGACAGCACAATGGAAAAAGATATGCTATCTGATCTGCGACATGTATGTCTCGTGAATGGCGATGGCAACGAAACCACAGCTCTTGATCGAAATTCGAATGATCTCTTTGACAACCATTACTACCAGAACTTGCTCGACGGGAAGGGCCTTCTTCATTCTGACCAAATTTTGTTTAATGGTGGTGATGATGAGACCAAAAGTGTTGTTGACAACTACAGAAGAAAGCCTAAACTTTTCTTTGATGACTTTATTAAGTCAATGATCAAGATGGGAAATATTGGCCCAGTGACTGGATCAAGTGGACAGATTCGAAAGAATTGCAGAGTGATCAATTGATAATTGTGTTAAACTCTGCTGAATTAATATATTAAAATCTAGTTTTGTGGCCTGTATAAATTATAATGCTGATGAAGGGTTTGCCAGTTTTTTCTGGGATATTAAATAATAAAGGCCAAAAGTCACTTTTGGTCCCTGTAATTTGACATTTCAACAACTTTTGACCATGTAGTTTCAATTCTGTCAATTTTGCCATTGTAGTTTCGTACTTGTAGCAATTCAAGGACATGTTAGTATTCTTGTCAATTTCTTTCACGATGCAAGGGGCAATTTCGTCAACCCAAAACCCTTGAGCATAAAAGCTTGTATGAAATTCTCCCCATTTCATATTAGGACTCGAAATTCAACCACTAATCCCAATGTTTGAAGAACCTTAAACCCAAATGACCAATTTCAAGCCCTAATATGAAATTAGGGCAGTCTCAAAATGAGCTTTTATGCTCAAGGATTTTGGGTTGACGAAATTGTCTCTTGTACCGTTAAAGAAATTGACAGGAATACTAACTTGTCATTGAATTGCTACAAATACGAAACTACAGGGTCAAAATTGACGAAATTGAAACTACATGATCAAAAGTGGTTAAAGTGCCAAACTACAGGGACCAAAAATGACTTTTAGCCAATAATAAATTACAATATATATAGCACTCATGATATGAAGATAGCAAAAATTATTAACAAATTGAAGTTTGAACCAATAGATTGATCTTCTATTTCATCGAGTTGTCTTTCAGATCAGAAAAAGAAGAAAAGACAAACTGGAAATGTAGTGGCCTCACTGTGAGTTGCTTGATCAAAATGTCAACTCCTATGTCCTATCAACTTCAATTTTTTATAACCATTTTTGCTGTGCTATCTGTTTAACTTGTCAAATTGCTAAAGCTTAATCTTATTCTTAATTACAAATTGTTAATGCATGCACAATTTAGTGATGCGCATGCACAATTTAGTATGCGCATGCACAATTTAGTGATGCGCGTGCACTGAAGTGGTAGCAAAAACGCATTTGGCTTTCTGTTGGCATGCACTATAATATAGTCTGAAAACGATTAACTAATCTTTGATTCATGAACTTGCTTAGAAAGCTTTATATACTATATGCAAAACTGATAACAATTAGGCCACCACTCTTTTGGCAGTATGCAAATTAATATCAGTCTCACAATCTCAGTGCAGTTTTCTGAGTTTGAGTAATTATGCAGTCAAGCTCTGGGTGCAGCCGCCATACATCATAAGCACTAGTTTAGCTTTAAAAAAAATCTTAATTTCTCGCATGATGTTGTCTATAAATTGAGTTAACACCATATTTATTAGCATTAACTAGGGTCTGCCACTGCCAATATCCTCCTCAAGTAAACCATGACAAGGTCATCGATTACTTTTAGTCGTCGTTACTCTTTGTTAATGATCACGTTCTTCGCGTTGTGTCTGGTTGCGAAGGCACAGTTAAGTACAGATTTTTACCGGGCAACATGTCCGGATCTTCTCAAAATTGTCCGAAGAGAGGTTCTGAGTGCAATCAAGACTGAAATGCGAATGGCTGCTTCTTTGCTTCGGCTACACTTCCATGACTGCTTTGTCAATGTGAGTTTAAGGCCTTGAGCATCATGCATCCCAATTTTTAACTAGCAAGCATTTCCTGTGAGTTTTTAAGACCTCCCTGATGAGGCATCATTTCATGGTGTTAAAATAAACATATATAAATTAACTCTCTTTTGTGCATATATACGTGTAGGGTTGCGATGCCTCACTACTCCTGGATGCAACTGACAGTGAGAAGGCTGCCGCGCCCAATTTGAACTCAGCAAGAGGATTTGAAGTCGTGGACAGAATCAAGAGCTCTGTGGAGAGTGCATGTAGTGGAGTTGTATCATGTGCTGATATACTAGCCATAGCTGCCAGAGATTCTGTGGTCCTAGTAAGTTCACACTTTCTGGGTTCATTTTATACATATCTACATAAGTGTTAATGAGATCAGAGACTAAACATGTTAATCTTGCAGAGTGGAGGAACTTCATGGAAAGTTCTACTGGGAAGAAGAGATGGATTGGTGGCAAATCAAACAGGAGCAAATAATGGACTTCCTTCTCCATTTGAAACTCTGGATGTGATCATTTCCAAGTTTGCCACTGTAGGCCTCGATGTCAAAGATGTTGTGTCCTTATCAGGTACATACTAATATCTAATCTCCAATATAATCCACCAATTAACTCTCTAATGTGTTAATGGATTTAATTAATTCTGTGTTAACTTATTATAGGAGGTCATACAATTGGGTTGGCAAAGTGCAGCACTTTCAGCAATAGGCTTTTCAACTTCTCAGGAACAGGTAGTCCAGACAGCACATTGGAACAAAGCATGTTAACTGATCTACAAAACTTGTGTCCACGCACTGGTGATGGAAGCAACACCGCGCCGTTTGATCGAAACTCAGCCGATCTTTTTGACAACCATTACTTTCAGAACTTGATTAATGGAAAGGGCCTTCTTGGTTCTGATCAAATTCTGTTTTCCAGTGATGCAGCTGTGACAACAAACACCAAAAATTTGGTCCAAAGCTATAGCTCTAATTCCGGGCTTTTCCTCAGTGATTTTGCAGATTCTATGGTCAAGATGGGGAATATAAGTCCTCTTACTGGGTCTGCTGGAGAGATAAGAAAGAACTGCAGACTGGTTAATTCGTGAAAACAATACATATATGGTTGAGCTAGCAACATTTGAAAAATTATATTGTCCCTTCCACCTGAAATTATTTAATGAAAAATGTATGTGGCAGTGAAAAACCTCATGATCCTTTCTCTTGTGGACACAAGACTTCAGATATGACGACTATGATTATAAATAAACCTACCTGAAATAGGAGAAATGATACTATACGAAAACACATTGGGCAATACCTCATGTATCTATCTTTTCATCACATGATTTAAAGCCCTAATGTATTTATCTTGCTCTAAAAAAAAATTAGAGAGAGAATGGGCCAAAAAAACAAACGAGACGAGGAAAATAAGATTTCAAATGTATTTATAAACTTAAAACAAATTGCCTCTTTGTGACAGATCAAACACTTGCAATCACACAATGACTTCCCACGACATGATTGTATTCTACCAATTAGATGCTGACACTTAATTTTCTTATTTTTATAAATAAAGGACAAACTACAAAAGGCATATGTTCATTCATATATTGAAGTTGAATTGAAACGTTTACATCTTTGGTGGGAAACTAAATGTTTACTAAGAAATTATAAAATACTACATTAGTATAACTACATGGTATATCTTGTATATATGTTATAATTATGGATGGATGACACTGACTGAGTTTATTTCCCTTCATTTCGTGAATATTATCAATAAATATCTATTTGTATAACAACACGTATCTTTCACGATATTTAGTGGATGGTCTAATATTTCCACATAATAGTGACACCGCTTGCATTAATGGATTGGGAAAGAAAATTTGTTGCTTGTAAGCCGCCTGCTATTACCAAATCCTCAACATTGCAATTCGCAAAGTATGAAAACATTGGATTCGTTTCCTCTGTACAGTAAAAAGAAAAAGAAAAAAGAAGAATATTATTTTGTCTATTTTTCTTCAAAAATTTGAATGCATGCTCGCATGCTATTACCAAATCCTCATTGATTAATTATTAGCTCCTTCCTTGCATGAAAAAAAAAAAAAAAAAAAAAAAAAAAAAAAGAAAGGTCATAATTTGTGGTGGATATGAATATAATAGTTTCAAATGCTGTCAAAAAAGAATATTTTATTGTCTTTTTCTTAACAATTTGGTTGCATGCATGCTATTATTCCATCATGTCATTAATTATTATTGGCTCCTAGCTTAGATGGCAATTCAGCTGAAAACCTCATCAGATATCGTCTTGGAAAATTCAGCCAGCCAACTATAATCAAAGTGATCCTTTTATATACACACTTGTAACGAAGTAGGTAGCCTTCTTTTTGACCACATAAGCGATAGTATTTCATTAGATCAATTAAAAAAATACATACAAAGCCATCTTGATTAATTATATAACGAACATGGGTAAAGCTTCTTCCGTGACCAGAATCAACTCTAGAGGTGAAACGATCTAGCTAGGAAGAATAAATCGTAAAGAACTTGTCTAAAAAACCCTATATACCATCTAATTGTCCTAAATTAAGTCATTTCTGAACAAAAGGTGATATACACAATATGCTAAATTCAGCGGCATGAAGGTTTTTATTTTCTAACTGTTTAAAGGAAAATGCTAGCTAGGCATACCACATTTTGTACTAGGCTCTACCTCTATTAGAGAGGTGGTATATAAATGTGGTAAGCCTAGCTAGCATTACCCGGATAACCATTAAATATTACTATAATGAGATAATAAAGTCAAATTAAGGAGAGGCTGGAAAGCAAAAATTGCTGACTCTTATTTTATCTTATTTTTCATTTTTCAAGGATGGATGTTATTCTGAATTTGCACAATATTTATACATAAATCTTATGTCACTACCTTAATTGATCATTGCATATAGATCAAAGAACGTTGTAGTCAGAAAATGTTATAAACTTGGATTGTATTTGATCACATTTATGGTTGTCAAATTTAGGAGGCGAGCTTGTGTGTGTGTGTATATATATATATAATTAGTATATTTTAAGGAATGATTAGATCGTCCCTTTTGAGAGATGAGATGAGATGATCATGAGACTAATTAAAGTGATGTGGTGTGGGTGTGGCCACAACTATACCACGCGGTTTGAAAAACTAATTGTAGTCTTTTGATTTTATTGACTACATATACAGAATTTCTAGAATGCTAGACTCGAGATATATATGCATCCTAGATCTCCTGCAACGCATATATCCAATATTTGAATAAGTATAGCCCAGAAAGAAACGTCCGTGACTGCTCTAGCTAGCTACTTCATGTTGAAATATATCAACACTAATTATTGATCTAATCATTAAGGTCAACAGCTTACACTATTAACTTCCATTATAATTAAATTCTTCAATTTTGGTCCAGGCGATAGTCTAATATAAACTATAATTTAAATTACAATAGAACGGAAATTTCTCACATACACACACTACCAATCCAATATACGCATGGTAAATCTAATCACACTCATGCATGCTGCATAGAAAATTTAAGCGACATTTTCTCCAAAATATATACGGATCTGAAAACTAGGCATTTGTGAACTTGGAAAAAAAAGTGTCTTAAACCCCCATCAAATGCAAAATCATTGCTTCGTGACCAATTCTTGCTCTGCTAAATTGTTAGCTATTGGATACAAAGACCACGGCAAAGGAGAATAGACACAAGATTATATTGACATTGGACTTTTGAAATATACATACGCATATCTCCAGTAAAATATTTGCGCCCTCCACTGGACTTTTGAAAATTCTTTAACTAAAGCTTACGTAGAAAAGTTCATGATTCCTGTAGTAGAGTAGGGCCACATCATCTGAAGATTCCTATGTATGAATTTTCAACGGTCGGATCTCTTTGATCATTTTCTTAGCATGCACAAAATGCCTAGAGATTTGAGGTGCACCGTCTCACCTAATAATAATATAATTTCCCTATATAAGGGTAGAGATATTAGTCTCCAATCATCCCATCTCATCTCCCAAGTTAGAGCTACTAACTATAGCAACCTCTTAAATTCGTTTTCCTCATACCATCATGTCTTCATCATTTTCAATTGTAGCGGCAATTTTTCTTGTTACTATTTGTGTGTGGGGAAATTCCAACGCTCAACTAAGCTCAACTTTCTATACCACCACATGCCCAAATGTAACCAGTGTTGTTCGTGGTGTGGTGGAGAAAGCTCAACAAAATGATATTCGTATTGGTGCTAAACTCATCCGGGTTCATTTTCACGACTGCTTTGTCAACGTAAGTAAAAACATAAAAGAAAATTCTTTTCGTATATGTGTTAAATTGTGATTTGTCTAAATAATGAGATGTTTGTAATGTTAACCGTGTGAAATACTAATTAATTAATTGAAGATGCAGGGGTGTGATGGTTCGATTATGCTGGACAACGCAGATGGCATAGAGAGTGAGAAAGATGCAGTTCCCAATCAATCCACAGATGGATATGATGTGGTTGATGACATCAAAACTGCACTCGAGAATGTTTGCCCTGGTGTTGTCTCCTGTGCCGACATTTTAGCAATTGCTTCTCAAATACTGGTTTCTGCGGTAACATACATACATATTATTCTTAATTATATATTATTTTAATTGCAACTTCAGTTAATTAATGGAGTATTATTCGTATTTACATTATATTTTATATGTCCAAGAGGACCAGACCAAGTCATCAGAAGCATCAAATGAACAAGTCTACATATGAATTGGGAATATGGTTGAGAATTTTTTATATTCTAGGTACACCAGTCATATGGTGTATCGGAACATAAAAGAATTACTCCAAGATTAGATAATATAATTACGGAACAAGTCTATAGATGTATATGCATGGTTTCTTATATATATATATATTTCTTTCTTGTCCTTAATTATATATTATTTATGAATGTTACAGAATGGAGGCCCAACGTGGGAAGTTCAATTGGGGAGAAGAGACAGTAGGACAGCCAACCGAGCTGGTACCACTGCCATTCCAAGCCCTTTTGAAAACCTTGAGCAAGTTACAAAAAAATTCAGCGACGTAGGATTAGATTCCACTGATCTGGTTGCTTTATCAGGTATATAACTGATCACTAGCTATAATATAACTGTTCTAGTTATAAATTTGCAAAGATATGTGACCGTTTGGTTTCTCAGGTGCTCATACATTTGGGCGCGCAAGATGTGTTACTTTCGTCCACCGTCTGTACAATTTCAGTGGCACGGGGAACCCCGACCCGACCATAGACGCAACATACTTAGAAACGCTACGGCAAATATGTCCTAACGGTGGCAATGGAGGTACGTTGGCGGACCTTGACCAATCAACGCGTGACGAGTTCGACAACAACTACTTCACAAACCTCCAAAACAAGCGCGGGCTTCTCCAAACGGATCAGGAGCTATTCTCAACTAGCGGAGACACTGTTGCCATTGTGAACCGCTTTGCTAATAGCCAAAGCGACTTCTTTGATAGCTTTGGTCAGTCCATGATCAATATGGGAAACATTAGACCTTTGACGGGCAGTGATGGAGAGATTAGGTCTGATTGCAAAAGAATCAATTGAAATCATCTTATTGTAATTGTTTGTGCCTCAAAAGAGAATTAAGGCTCAAGTATTATATAGTTGTCCATGTATCATAACATGCATGTTGTTATATATGTATTGGTTCTGCCTGGCATACCAATGGACATTCAAATAAAGTGAAGGAATTTTGGAAACTTGGAAGAAACGTGTGTTGATCAAACTTGGAAGAAAACATACATTATACATACCCTAAAAATTGTCCTCCCAGTAACCTGCCAGCGGCCCAATACAATTTGTCCATGTTACCATGTATATTCATAATGCATGCATGGCAAAACATGACCATAACATGCATGTTATATAATGGATCTGAACTCACGAAAACGTATCTTAGGGGTTCTTCACTATTTTAAGAACACCGCGCCGTTTGATCGAAACTCACTGATCTACAAAACTCGTGTCCACTCACTGGTGATGGAAGCAACACCGCGCCGTTTGATCGAAACTCAGCCGATCTTTTGACAACCATTACTTTCAGAACTTGATTAATGGAAAGGGCCTTCTTGGTTCTGATCAAATTCTGTTTTCCAGTGATGCAGCTGTGACAACAAACACCAAAAGTTTGGTCCTAAGCTATAGCTCTAATTCTAGGCTTTTCCTCAGTGATTTTGCTGATTCTATGGTCAAGATGGGGAATATAAGTCCTCTTACTGGGTCTGTTGGAGAGATCAGAAAGAACTGCAGACTGGTTAATTCATGAAAACAATACATATATATGGTTGAGCTAGCAACATTTGAAAAATTATTGTCCCTTCCACCTGAAATTATTTTATGAAAAATGTATGTGGCAGTGAAAAACCTCATGATCCTTTCTCTTGTGGACACAAGACTTCAGATATGACAACTATGATTATAAATAAACCTACCTGAAATAGGAGAAATGATACTATACGAAAACACATTGGGCAATACCTCATGTATCTATCTTTTCACCACAGATTTAAAGCCCTAATGTATTTATCTTACTCTCAATCAAAATTAGAGAGAGAATGGGCCAAAAAACAAACGAGACGAGGAAAATAAAATTGTGCATTTACGGCTGCAATTTGTAAACTGGGCGCAATAGTTAAGAGTATTATTGGGCTGACAGTTATCGTTTTGGGAATGCTATTGGGTAGCCGTTTCTTTTGGGCCTAGAATTTTGCTGCAGGCCAGTCCGAATCCCCTTTCAGGAATTCTACGCATAATTGATCAGCATAAAATTTTGTAATCGGTCCTAAGCCAGTGGTGATAAGTTCTTTTGGGGAGACAGATTCATTGATTGCAGCCAGTGAATCGGCAAGGAGAGAGGTGGCGTTGGAGACACTCCCAGAGATCCTGGGTAGAGGTTGTTGGAGTTGGCAGAGCCAAAGGAAATAGTTGGAGTTGGCGGAGCTAAGAGGATCGAATAAGGGAGAGAGAAGAAACCTTAGGTTAGGCTGAAGGAAGTTGAGGTTCCACCCCAAAAGCAATTGGCAATGAGAGGAGTAGTCCAACTCCTTATAAGCCCTTGCTAGGTTTCTCAACTTTCCAATGTGAAACTCTTTACCTTCACATTCTCACATGCCACCGCACGTGTGACGAATTTTCAAGCCTAACTCGTGGATAACACATATTGAGTGACGTGTGGCAGGTGTGGGCATTGGGCTTTCACAAGTGGGCTAACTTGCTTTGAATACAATCCGATTTACAATAGGAAATTCGATTTACAACAGAAAAAGCTAATTGTTAGGAGGAAATTGGGAAGTTGACTTCCGTGTGTGCTAGGAAAGAAAAGTTGCGTTAGCATTAATTAATATTAGCTCCTTCCTTGCATGAAAAATCAGCAGCTGAAAAAAAAGATTAGTCTAAACACAAATTATACTCACAAGTGCACAGGGTCAATCGTAATATTGTATGGCAAATACAAGGTCATTCCCCGCGAGGATTGAGTTCAACTACCACTTAGTCTAACCTAATTTACTTCACAAAATACTTTAACTACTCTAATTATATAAATAGAAATTAAACACATAACGTAAACACAAAAGGGGTTTTTGAAAGAATGATTTAATTACCAACGAAATTAAAAAGACAAAACAAGTAGGAAATCACGAAAACACAAGAACGAGAAATTCAAATTGATAGAAGCACTAGGACAATGAATTCACCACTAGTAATCCGATCTAGCCTCTTATTCACCTACCTATTAACTAACCAATTGATGTCACCGCTTAGTTTTCCTTTTCATGAATTACATATGGTATTTAGACTAACTCGTATATTCCTACATGCAATTCACCTATGGTATTTAGGTCAAATATAAACACATATATAGAATTTCATTAAGATCATTGAAAACCTTGAACAAGCATGTAAACCTTAGGAGTATGGTATTTACCCTAGACAAATTACAAATCCTAATCACAAGAAGCAAGCCTCAAATTAAATATGGTATTTGCTCTAATTTAAATCCGATTAACTCAATTAAAAATCAAGATGGTGATCAAGCATCAAGATAATCAACCAAGTTATGAAGCACAATGATTAAAAATCCAACATCAAACGGCAATCAATAGATAGGTAAAATAAGAAAACTAGATTATCATACTAGGGTTACATCATGCCCTAGCAAAGAAAATTAGTTACATATAATCATAGAATTCGACATAAACAAAAACACAAGGAAGAAACAATCAAACTTAGCCAATTGCGGTACTTTTCCAGCGTCTCCAATTTCTCCTAGTCTTTGCGTGTCTCTCAAGGAGTTGTTTCTCATGCTTAAATAAAACACTCCGCGTCTATTCTCACCCTAGTTGGGCTTTTACAGCAGCCCAACAATAAGAAAAACCTAATTAAAACATAAATCCAAAATGAGTAAGTAATTGATTCCTCTTCCTACTTGGACTGGGATAACACATCAGCTACTTTGCATGCACATTTGGGGTTGTTTCTTCTCCAAGAAAATTCGGGAAAAGTATGAAAATTGTAGGTTTTGGTCTTACCTTTCCAGCCATATATCGCACGCCTTGAGGAAAAATTAGGAAAGTCTTCAAATAGTCATTCTTCCACAGTAGCACAGTTTTGACGGGATTGCATCTTATGCTGAATTAACTTCAAAGACTGTTCTCATTTGCTGCTCTGAAAATTCTAGAAAAATTCCACAATCATCTTCAAGATCTTAGCTTTCATCTCCAACTAGTCTCATACTAAAACTCCACCAAAATGTCGTATTTCGTTGAAAACAAATTACTTGCTTTGGAAAGCTGAAAATTGAGAAAATAAAGTAATAAGTCTTTTTTTAAACCAAATTCTCCAACAAAAACTAAGTATAAAGAGTACATAAATGTGTAAATTTATAGAATTATCACTACCAATGTGTCATGGTATAATAATTTATATTATTTGATCATCATTTTAAATCTGATCACACTCATGCGTGCTATGTAGAAAATTTAAGGAACATTTTCTCCAAAATATATACGGATCTGAAAACCAGGCATTTGTGAACTTGGAAAAAAAAGTGTCTTAAACCCCCCGTCAAGTGCGGACAATCATTGCTTCATGACCAATTCTTGCTCCGCTAAATTGTTAATTATTGGATACAAAGACTACGGAAACGGAGAATAGACACAAGATTATTGACATTGGACTTTTGAAATATACATACATATATCTCCAGTAAAATGTTTGCCCCCTCCACTGGACTTCGGTCGGATCTCTTTGATCATATTTTCTTAGCATGCACAAAATTCCGTGCACCGTCTCACCTAATAATAATATACTTTCCCTATATAAGGGTATTAGTCTCCAATCATCCCATCTCATCTCCCAAGTTAGAGCTACTAACTATAGCAACCTCTTAAATTCGTTTTCCTCACACCATCATGTCTTCATCATTTTCAATTGTAGCAGCAATTATTCTTGTTACTATTTGTGTGTTGGGAAATTCCAACGCTCAACTAAGCTCAACTTTCTATACCACCACATGCCCAAATGTAAACAGCGTTGTTCGTGGTGTGGTGGAGAAAGCTCAACAAAATGATATTCATATTGGTGCTAAACTCATCCAAGTTCATTTCCACGACTGCTTTGTCAACGTAAGTAAAAACACAAAAGAAAATTCTTTTCGTATATATGTCAAATTGTGATTTGTCTAAATAATGAGATGTTTGTACTAATTAATTAATTGAAGATGCAGGGGTGTGATGGTTCGATTATGCTGGACAACGCAGATGGCATAGAGAGTGAGAAAGATGCAGTTCCCAATCAATCCACAGATGGATATGATGTGGTTGATGACATCAAAACTGCACTCGAGAATGTTTGCCCTGGTGTTGTCTCCTGTGCCGACATTTTAGCAATTGCTTCTCAAATACTGGTTTCTGCGGTAACATACATACATATTATTCTTAATTATATATTATCTTAATTGCAACTTCAGTTAATTAATGGAGTATTATTCGTATTTACATTATATTTTATATGTCCAAGAGGACCAGACCAAGTCATCAGAAGCATGAAATGAACAAGTCCATATATGAATTGGGAATATGGTTGAGAATTTTTTATATTCTAAGTACACCAGTCACATGGTGTATTGGAACATAAAAGAATTACTCCAAAATTAGATAATATAATTACGGAACAAGTCTATAGATGTATATGCATGATTTCTTATATATATATATATATATATATATATTTCTTTCTTGTCCTTAATTATATATTATTTATGAATGTTACAGAATGGAGGCCCAACGTGGGAAGTTCAATTGGGAAGAAGAGACAGCAGGACAGCCAACCGAGCTGGTACCACTGCCATTCCAAGCCCTTTTGAAAACCTTGAGCAAATTACAAAAAAATTCAGCGACGTAGGATTAGATTCTACTGATCTGGTTGCTTTATCAGGTATATAACTGATCACTAGCTATAATATAACTGTTCTAGTTATAAATTTGCAAAGATATGTGACCGTTTGGTTTCTCAGGTGCTCATACATTTGGGCGGGCAAGATGTGTTACTTTCGTCCACCGTCTGTACAATTTCAGTGGCACGGGGAACCCCGACCCGACCATAGACACAACATACTTAGAAACGCTACGGCAAATATGTCCTGACGGCGGCAATGGAGGTACGTTGGCGGACCTTGACCAATCAACGCGTGACGAGTTCGACAACAACTACTTCACAAACCTCCGAAACAAGCGCGGGCTTCTCCAAACGGATCAGGAGCTATTCTCAACTAGCGGAGACACTGTTGCCATTGTGAACCGCTTTTCTAATAGCCAAAGCGACTTCTTTGATAGCTTTGGTCAGTCCATGATCAATATGGGAAACATTAGACCTTTGACGGGCAGTGATGGAGAGATTAGGTCTGATTGCAAAAGAGTCAATTGAAATCATCATATTATGTAGTTGTCCATGTATATGCATGGTGTAAAGTAAAACATCATCATAACATGCATGTTGTTATATATGTCTTGGTACTGCCTGGCATACCAATGGACATTCAAATTAAGTAAAGGAATTTTGGAAACTTGGAAGAAACGTGTGTTGATCAAACTCACGCGGACGCGGTGCTTCATGACTAGTTCTTCTTCTACTGGTAAGTGCTTGGTTGATATATCAAAAGACTGAGGCCAAAGAAAACATACATATATACCCTAAAAATTGTCCTCCCAGTAACCTGCCAGCGGCCCAACAATTTGTCCATGTTACCATGTATATGCATAATACATGCATGGCAAAACATGATCATAACATGCCTGTTATATTATGGATCTGAACTCACGAAAACGTGTCTTAGGGGTTCTAAACTATTTTAAATACATTTATTTTCCCAAAAGGAGAAAATAGTTTTTACATCAAGTCTTCAACCCTCGATCGTCAATCACGGAAACTGATCAACCAGTCATCTTCCCCATTGGCATGCAAATAAGTGACAGAGCCATATAATTCTGTGGTCTGTTACTCATAGCTTGTCGTGTGCATATGAATGCACCAAATTTTGAATATTCCGAAATCTCCTTTCGACCATTAATAATTTCGAATAAACCTCAAAGTTAAACCTTTTCCAAAAGCATGTATGTCTTATCGATACCTAATTACATGGACTTTCTTGCCATAATTATAAGTGAACAGTGTCTTATCGATACCTCATAAGTGAGCATGTATGTCTTATAACCACCGTCCAATATAAATACGTACTTAAGATCATGAGAGATTTTCCTTGTACATTTACAATTAGTAATGGAACATTCTGGTCTAACACAAGTCTAGTCTAGTCCTTCTTAACAGACGAGGCCTATGTGTTGCAGGAGAATGTATTGCCCGGTACTAAATTACTAATCTACAGTTTTTTTATACACACTCAATTTTAGTGGATACATTTTTCGGTAAACTTAATACGTGACTGACTCACTGATATTAGACATATATAACCCCACTGCATATGAGCATCACCACTCTGACTCTTATCTCATGTCCAAAAAATTAAGGCATATGTTCTGGCGGTCCAACACACTTTATTAAAGTAAAAGCGCATTTTTTCTTTCTGATTAAAAAAAAAGTAAAGGCACATGTTTTTTTTATGGAAGAAAAAAGAAGCGAAAGGCATAAATTCCTCAATTATACAACTCCTTTTAAACTTTAAACTTTTTCTTTTTCTCTTTGGGTAAATAAATTTGAATTTCAACTCATTCTGAACTTCATACTAATTACGAAAAATCAAACCAGAGTAGTTGTACGCAGTAGGTTTTAATTTCTAGAGATATTATAACTAAGGCATGATCAATCTCATGTGTTTGTCTTCATATGAATTAAGTTCCAATCTGATCATTGTAGCCATGATAGTACATATAACACTATTGCTTAGTTTCTTGATTTTATGAAACAGTGATCTGTTACGATACAATACTCAGATCGAAAGTTAAGCAACAGCAGACCGTGACTCATCTGCATAACGTACGTGTTCCCATTTTTAGTTTGATATAGGTACTCGATACCATTTAAGTATTTGTCACGCTATAAATAAAAGCTTAGGTTATATATAGAACTACTTACTACTGCTCTCTCATATGCATTGATTAATATCAGTTAAAGAGATGAGTCTACCTGAGAAAATGCCTCCTTCTTCTTCTTCTGCTTCTCAGAATAATCGCAGTATTAAAATATCGTTAAGTATTTTGTTTGCGATATTATTAATCTTGTGTGCAGGTGCAGGATATGGCGAGGCCCAGCTGAGCCCTACGTTTTATGATGAAGACTGCCCAAATGCCACAAGCACTGTGCGTGCTGTCATTGAAGACGCTTTGCAGACAGATCCCCGGATTGCTGCCAGCCTCACCAGGCTTCACTTCCATGACTGCTTCGTCAACGTACATATTTCATCTCCTGCTCTTTTACTTTTACTTTTAAGTACATGTTCTTCTTCATGATCAAATGCTCCATTCATCCGAGGACTCAAACTGATGAGCTTAGATTTAAGCTGAAGAACTTATTTAACTTAAAACAACTAATTTCGGAATTTGGACACCGACCAAGATTAATCATTCGAAAACAAACAAAATTTATCCTGACATAATTAAGCAACCCCTTAGATATTTGAAAAAATTGGTGAATATATTGTTAGAAAGATCACAAGACTTGTTGGTTGTATTAATTTCAGGGTTGTGATGGATCAATCTTGTTGGACAACAGTAGCAGCACTTCCAGTACCATAGACAGCGAGAAAGCAGCATTTGCAAATAACAACTCGGCCAGAGGATTTGATGTTGTGGACAACATCAAGACTGCATTGGAGACTGCTTGTCCCGGGGTTGTTTCCTGTGCTGATATTCTCGCCATTGCAGCTGAAGAATCTGTTTCTTTGGTACATATTTCAAAAACAATTTATGCCTTCATCTTGTTCTTCTATATCGATCTCTTCTTGAAATTAATTTTATGGTTGCAGTCTGGAGGCCCCTCATGGACAGTTCTATTAGGAAGAAGGGATAGCACAACAGCGAATCGCACGGCTGCCAACGAAGCCCTTCCACCTCCCACTTTCACCCTTGACCAACTCAAGGCCAGCTTCGCAGCTGTAGGCCTCGACACCACTGATCTGGTTGCACTATCCGGTAAGTAAGAAAAGAGAAAAAAACATTTGAAGGAACCATATACATATGTGTGTTGCTTTTTAGTGACAACATTTGACATGCATATGATATAATATATAATTCACAGGTGCTCACACATTTGGGCGTGCTAAATGTCAATCTTTCAGCAATCGACTGTATGACTTCAACAGCACAGGCCTTCCTGATCCGACCTTAAACTCAACCTACTTAGAAACACTGAGAGAGTTATGCCCCCAGAACGGGAATGCGAGTGTGCTAGCTAACTTTGATCCTTCAACACCTAACACTTTCGACGGCAAGTATTTCTCTAATCTTCAAGTTCGTAAGGGCCTTCTCCAAAGCGATCAAGAGCTGTTTTCGACCACCGGGGCTGATACGATCAACATTGTTAACAACTTCAGCGTTAATCAGAGCGCCTTCTTTGAGAGCTTTGTGAAATCCATGATTAAAATGGGGAATATAAGCCCTCTGACCGGAACTGATGGAGAGATTCGATTGAACTGCAGGAGGGTTAATGGAGATACGTATGGATCATCTGCTACTTTGATAGCGGAGTATTAATAAAAAGTTATGGCTATGTAAAACTAATAAAGCTTTATGCCTGATACGATGATGATCATGGCTACAAGTTCATGTTCAAGCTTATATGGCTACGAGCTCATCTCTTTCTATGAAATGTCTTGAATAAAGCTATGACATGATTTACAATTATCAACCACATCCATTGCACAAAGATATTATAAGCTTAAATTACAAAGACTTGTGTTTACAAACTATCATGTCATTAGAAATTAAGTATGAAATTTACAATGTAAAAACCATGAGTGGCTAATGGAGAACAATCCCCTCCCACATCCTGGTGGCTAGTACACTAAACCATACCCTATTGTTGATCTCCACTTCTTTCCCACATGTTCAAAGACAATCATTTACAGCATGCACAAACCTTCCCTAATTATAACTTTTTTTCTCCTATTTTTCTATGGAGAAATACGACAGAAAACATTTTCTCCAAATCTTTGTTAACATGATCCATATAAACAGGGCATCTGATTTATCATTTATCTAGGGTCTCCCCTCCTGCTGTTCTTGATGCCTGCTGTTTTTGTTGCTTCTGGTTGTGTCTAATGAGCTGAGCATATAGAAGCTCGTTCCATGTGTCAGGAACACCAGGGAGGCACCAGTGACTGCAATCCTGATATCTCAAAGGAGATTTTCTGTCCTCCTCTGTGAAATTCTGCTTTCTATAAATTGATGGATGAGCATCCCTCCTAAAATCAGTCATTCTTGTAATGTTCAGATAGAAGATTGGTGTCTTCATTTCTATGATTACCGAGTCCAAGATTCTCATTTTCGACATATATTTTCCTTTGTTTGCTTCTTTTGCAGTTGGCTCTGTCTCACCATGACATTGACCTCCAGAATTCCATCTTCCACCTCTGTGAAGGGTAAAAAGATTATTAAGATGCGTATATTTGTTAACCAACCATGAGGTTCTGAAAGTTAAAACTACTTCATATGGTTACCTAAAGTGATTAGGCGAATAGCCCCGGAAGAAAACAATAGTTTTCTCAAGATTTATATTGATGTCAACCCATCTTGCCCATGTCATTAGAGCTTTCCGAAATGCCTCTTTAACATTCAATTCAACGTAGATATGGCTACCCTCTTGATAGTAACCTTTCCTGCAATATGATTATGTTATTGTAGTATTCCAGGCCAGTTTCATAAAATCAATGACACAGAGTGACAGGGGGAATGGGTCTTACCCTCTGGAAGTTTTCTCATGAGTCCACCAGTGACCTGTGTTGAAGATGAGAACATCTGCACTTTTGTACTTATCAGAGGACCTCTCGATCAAATCAAGGCGAAGTGTCTCCTTTAGCGATCCATTTGCATCTGGCATCTCCCATTCTTGAACTAGAAATGGTGATCGGAAGAACTCCACTGAACAATTATAATCCTGTGGATCCATTTGAGAACAAAATATAAATATTAACTTAGATGCTCCATCGAGCTGTTCAGATAACATGGGATATAAATGAAAGCAAAAAATTTAGCTCCATTGGGCTGTTTAGATAACTGTTTTTTCCTACATGTTTGAAATCGAAATCCACTGTATTGGTTCCAGGCGTGTGAACTTTCTCATTCACTCTGGTCAAAACGAAATAAAACTCTAAAGGAAAAAAGGAAGAATTTATCAGGCTATGAATTCCAAATCAGAGAATGGATGATGAACAACATGCCTTGAATATAAAAGAGTGAGAGCCCTCTGTACGC